CAGAAATAAGAAACCTTTATTTATTTATTTTTTTCTTCTCCTTTTTTTTTCTTTTCTTTTTGTATATTTTTTTGCCTTGCCGCTAGTGGAGTTTTATTAAAATACAAGTGCACATTTCTTCCTTCTATTGGTTCCACTCAAAAGTTATCCCCAACTTTCCTCATTACTTCTTTCTAGCGCTCTCTTTAAAATTCAAGTTCTCTAAGAGGTATAAGGATCAAAATAATTCAATTAAGAACAAAAGGGGATAGGCTTGTAATGCGGGTGCCAAAAGAAAGGCTTATAGGCTCAAAAGGGTAACTAGGGATGATTTTATTTGTGATAGACAACAAAATTCAAAAAGATCAAAGAAAGCCTAGCATCACTTTTCAAACCGAGTAACACCTAGGATTTCGCTTCAATTCACATTCCGGACAAGTTCTAGACTCGAATGCAATAACATGGACTATGCAAAGAACTCACTTCACACTAGCACATGACTCCCTAAGGACGATTTCATTCGGACTCTCAATCAAACAAGTATTTACAAATCCAAGAGATATATTAAGCATAAAACACAAAGTGAACACAAGTCAAGAAAACGAGACATAGGAGTCATAACACATGCAATTCATTTTTACCATATATTTAAAATCAAGGAAAGGTGAAACACATGCCAGAAAATAAGTGTAAAACCATCAAACAAGTCAAAAGGTGTGAATCACATCATTTCTTCTCCTTTATTTCCTACATACTACTCTAAAAAAAAATATTATCCGGTTCAAGTTACATCCCATGGAAAAGAACCGAGGCACAAAGAAAAACCACGAGGGATTATTACACCTAAGGAAAATAAAAGACATGTTTTTGAATTTTTCTATTATCTCATTTTTTTGTATTTTTTGTTTAGACTTAAATCCCTCAAGAAAACTGTCTAGGAGATCCATCGTTGGAAAAAATCCAATTTATCTCTTTAAAAAAATTATTAATTAAACTAACACAACTAAAATAGCAAGAGAGTCACCCAGACAATCTCCCCACTCCTACACTTAAAATTGTGCATTGTCCTCAATGCACAACATAAATAATAAGAGGATAAAAGAAACTCCCTGGTAGGCTAAAGGTCAAAGCACTAGTAGTTCATGGGCTACTAAGACTTCTCCCGGATATTTTCCTTTGTGCGGGCATCCCACACGTAATTCTAAGCATCTGCTTGATGTTGCATCCTTCCAATGGTTATGCTTCCCATGCTCCTAAAGAATCAAGAACGACACTACAAAAATAATACAATAAGAAAATAATAAAAAAAAATAAAAATAAAAAAAAGCAGTAAAGTTGGGTTGTCTCCCAACAAGCGCCTGATTTAATGTCGCGGCACAACGTGAACCACTTTCTGCCTCCACCTCGAGCATATGATTGAACCCCAAGTTTTGATTCAACCTTATGATTGTGCTCTAGGGGTGGTGGAACAAATCTAACTGGCCCAAGGAAATAAAGTAGTATTCTGCACTTCTTGGCCTTTACATGAGGCGTGTAATCCTGACTTTGAGGCAAGTAAAATTCTAGAATGTAGACACCTTGTTCCTCCTTCCTTGACTCCTCAGTCGGCTCGGATGACTCTATTTTCCACATCACCATCCAAACACAATGTGGAAAAATATTTGGAGTGAGGACCAATGTGCTCAAACACATGAATTGCAGGACTTTCAACATCCTCACCATCAATGATACTAGAGTCAACAAAATTTATATCATCAATGTCCTTGGCTGACTCTAGTCTCACGTCTTCAACATCGACATCCTCAAATGGTAGTTGGTTAGGTTGTTTGTCTTCTACTCTGACCTCCTCTATTAGCACCTCAATTTCCGCATCTACTTCATGCTCTTCTTGGCTACCATACCCAATATTGGCTTGTTAAGCATTAATTGCTTCAACCAATTGACTCACTTGTGCCTCCAGGTTGCGAATAGTAACATCTTGCCTTTGTATGTGCAGTTGTTTCTCATTATTTTGTTCCACAAGGCACCTTAGCATATCGTTGATCTCTTTCAGGTCATCATCCCTGAGTTCTTTGTTCCTATTAACTTCATAAGAAAAAGTAGAATCATCATAGTAAGGGGTTGGGGGATGATAAGAAATATAAGCACAACCATGAAAGTAACAATTTTGACCACCACATGTATCACATACATTCCACAAATAAGATTGAGTTGGTGCACATAATTCGCTCTCAGGAACGTTTTGAAATTTTTTCCACGGGTGGCTTCCTTCACAATATGTATACGGATCAAAAGTAAAACTATCAACACCTAGACTTCCATAATTCCAAGATGTTATGTTTCTCAAATCAACAAGTAGAATAAAATAAAAATTAGAAAAAACAAAACAAAACAAAACAAAATAAGAGTTCAAACTTGAAACCTAGCAATATATACAGCTAAAACTACACCATTAGTTCCCTGGCAATCGCGCCAAAATTTGATCACGCCCAACTCTAGTCCTAAAAAGGATAAGCCATCGCTGTAAATATAATTCGGTCTAAAAGTCTGGAGTCGAATCTCATAGGGAACTAAAGTTTCACTATAGCTGTTCAATATCACTAAAAAGACAAGCTTGAACAATTCCTAAGTTATAAATGTTAAGATTCTTCTGTCTAACTAATTAACTAACAAATTAAAATAGTGAATTAATAAATAGGGATACTAAGGATTGGAGAAAAGATTAAAGAGGTCTAGAGTTATGATTTTCCCAATTGTCGGAATCCTTCCCGCTACATCTTTTATAATTTTGCCTAAGAATCCTCTACTGATCATGAGCACTTGACTTATCGTAATTCTCTCTCGAGCAACTACAATAATGTACTAGTCATATTCCCTCGAATTACGCTGGCTCGCACTGTTTCACCGCTCACTATGATCACGTCAAAGCTTCGTTATCTCTAGTCCCGCCTTTAAACCCTCCGTATTGATTTCTCACATACGTTAGGAATGATGTTGTTCAACAACTACCTAAATATGTACCCTTTCTCAAGCAATACACGCTAAATAGGTACAGTCAATCGATGGCCATTCAATCAACTGAAATAAGCATGTAGTTAAACAAGTAAAGAAATCCAAAGGCTAAGTTATATTAAATTCAACAGAAAATCATCCTTTAAAAAGTTCCATCAAACCCTAGATGAGAAAGTTTAGCTACTCATAATTGTGTAAATAAACATAGTAATATCTAGGAGCATTAAACTACAAATTAAAAAACTCGAGTGATTCGTGATTCCAAAGTGTTTCGTAGCCTCTTGCCTCTCTAATGATGTCTCTCGATGTCTAACCCCTCAAAAACTAACTTTAAGAGGTATTTAAAGGGTAGCGGCCGAATTCTACATGTTCAAGACTAATGAGGAATTAAAATTTGCTCGGATTGCATCGTCGACGCCTTGCACTTTCTGTGGCACTGTCGTTTCGGCGCAAGGCACTATCTGGGGCGCCAATGATAGTGCCCTGGACAATGCCTTGCACTGTCTATGGCACTGTTGTTACTGTGCAAAGCACTGTCTGGGGTGCCAATGACAGTGCCCTGGACAATGCATTGCACTATCTATGGCACTGACATTTCGTTGCCTTGCACGTCTTCTTTTATCGCTCCATTTTGTAGCTATGAGGTACCATTTCGTTCAACTTTTCTCCAAGTCATATCCAAGCATTCCTACACATGAAATAAGCTCTATTAAGCACAATGTTCGCACAAATTAGCATCCAAACACAAGCAAATAGGGTAAATAATGTCAAAATATATAGAATTATCTCACGACATCAATAACCTAATAGAAATTGAATATTTCTGCCAAACAGACACTTATTTCCGAATAGATACCTTTGCACCTGTTGACACCCAAATTTGTTGCCTATAAATATAGTGGATTAACCTTATTCTTCAGACACAATCAGAACTACATAGATTCTCCTTTCTTCTCTACATTTATATATAGTTCTTAAAAAACCAGTATTACGGGCATAGGAGGAATTAATCCAACAATGCAGAGTACAGTACAACAACATACCCATTATTACCCTACACCGTGGGGTTTGGGAAGAATAGTGTGTACGCAAAGAACGGTGAGGGAATTAAACTTTTTAAGGAAACACAATTTTCTGTTGTGCTCAGAACTTTTATTTATTATTACTGTTTTATTCATCTAACGTTTTTCTAATCGTGAACACAGTCTTGCTAACACATCCTTCACTCCTGCAAAATGGAAATAGGAATAATTAGAATAGCATAAACAAGATACAACAAAATTGTTCAACTCTCAATTCTTCATCAATTAAATCCAAGCCCTCGTGTATTGTCATTTCCTTGAAAGGAGTTCGTGCTAGTCCACGGATCCTTCCATACTTTCACTGACTTTCCATTTGAAACTCTCCATCACACGCCTTTTTGGATAAATATTTTCCCCAAACCCATGCTCTTTCACATCCATGAGCTAGCCGATGAGGACTTGGAATTGAAAAAAATATAATTTTGCCTTTCAAGACACTAGCAAGCAATAAGCAGAATATTTATATGATAAAGTCTTGAGAAATAATTCTATAGCTTGTTAGCACTGCTTTTTGCCTTTTCTTTCCGGTTGCCCGTCTTTGACTTCTCCACTCTCTTAACTCAATGATCAATCATTTCGTAAATGGTTTGTAATTGGTATAGATACAGTAGGTGCTAAAAGATCTTCGACTACAAATCCTTAATATTTTGGGCCAGATGCCAACAGTGCAAAAACGAGCCTTCCCTGTTAGAATTGCTTATTATATGACGAGATCTATAATGATGGGAGAGTTGCAATATTTCCTCGGCAACACTTTCAAAAAAGTTACTTTTGCAGCACATTCGGTATTAACGCTTGGTGAAAAGTGCACATAAATGGCAAGTTACACACTCACAGTTTACAGAAATAATAATTATAATAATTGCATATGGTACAATATCAAACTCCATAAGTTATAAATAAACTCATTAATTATACACACATAAATTGATAAAGAACTTGAGAAAACTTTAACCGCACTCCATTTCAATGGCAATAACATTATCTGCTAGAGTACTCCTCTACTACCATCTAGACGAAATTCTTATTACACTTCTAAATGTGGTTGACTATCATGATACACAAATTACGATATGGAGAGCTCACTGTTCCAGGCTTAACAAGGCGGATGATAATAGAACTGATTTAAAGGGCCGACGATAATAGCATTTTCATGCAAAAAAAAAATTGACAAAAGCAGTAGTAGATCGAGAAGAGACCGCCTGGGATTCAGCCTACATGAAACGAATGCATATGCATAAATGAGAGAAGCTGGCAGTTAATACCACCAGAGAAATAGTTGTCTGGTGGTCAGATTTAATCCTAACATACAATATTGATTAAATGAAGAAAAGATTAATGCACATGTTGCTCACCTTTGCATCTCCTGTATTTCAATTGGTGATTAACTAACTGCTTATATAGTGTCAACAGATAGAAAACTAACAGGCAGGAATCTTGAATGTGTGTTGACAACTTGACATGTTTTTTCTACTACATGCCCAAAAGGTGGATCATTCTCCTTGGAGGAGATATCTGTTGTCCTGGAACAACCAGACCGGATTTCCTTGGAGTGGCCTCCAACTTGAGAATTTCCATCTTACAACCGAGGTTTCATCTAGGATGCTGGTTGACACATCTCAGGTCCCAGCTATATAACCATCAGAAGAAGCTTCCTAAATGGACTTTGGACATGAGAAGCATGAACCAACAGAATAATACAATTAATTCCATCAAAAACTGCAATTGAAGGAGTTGTGCAGGAAGTTCTCATTGTGATACAAAATGGAGACCTGATCTAGGTCTTCTAGCAGATATATGTGTAATGATTTTGCACAGGCCTGAACTGGCCCAACCTCCAGCAAGCCAGGATAGGGAAAGGACTCAATAAAACACCACACTGCAGAATCAGTGACATTCACAATTTTAAATTTTAACAGGATGAACTTAACCAAGTTAATGCATGACAGTCGCGGTAATGTACCTTAAGTCAATACTGATGGAGCCTTAGTTCTGCTTTCATACTGTTCCTTCCATAATTTCCAAGAAATCCTTACTTCTTCCAATTGGGACTCTGGAATCCTTGTGTTTGCATCCAGTATCTCTACCCAGTCACTCCAAGGATATTTTGAGGGGTCCAAAAATTTAGACAGCTGAGGTAACATTGTGGAGTAATAGAACTCATCTACTGCCTTGATAATATCTTCTGATTCCAGTAATGTCAGCATTTCAGGTCTTGTTATGTTGCCAGGTTGGTTTCTCAAAGCAAAATTGTTCCCCTTCAAAACCAAAACTTCTGATGGGGCTAGGGGTAACACAATCCTTGAAAATTTGCATAATGACATTCTCAAAACATCAGGTGGTAGAAGATTGCGTTTTATTGCAACTGCAGTCCCCACCATTTTGCGTATCTGAATAGGAGCAATAATTTAGGCTTAGACATACACAGCATATCTTATCAAGAAAAACACAGATCAGAACAAAGCAAATGTAGCAGAGTAAAGACAAGGAAGAGCTGCATGTAATGAAACTGTAAAAAGAAAAACAACAGTTCAATCTGCTTAAATAAACATCAGTCATAAAGCTGTCACTGGCCATCTCCTCGGCACATGCGTGGACTCAACTACGAGTATCCCATATAGTTATGTATCCAACATGCGTACATCCAAGTTCAAACAAATTCTTGGCGTATCAAACAAAAAATCTGGTGTATTTTGCAGGATCTGAGAGATGGATTCACACCCATGTCCAACCCAATTGACATGAGTTCGTCAAGGCAAATGAAGATCTTGGTAAGGTGCACAGACCTCATTGCTTACCAAGTAGCACTCTCGTGTAATGGCAAACGTATGTTCCATTTAAAACATTAGAAAGAATGAACAGAGCAAATTGATAAATCAAGAGAATTACTTGATGTAACATGAATGATTCTCCACAGATAGAAACTTCAACATAATTCATGCTGAACAACTTCTCCAACTTTCCACAATGACAGTGAAAAATCCTTCGGAAATGGGCAGAGCTAAGCTTATCTCTTGCATCAGTTTCATGGAGCCATCTCGCTAGGATTGGTAACGCAGAATATAGTTCCTTTGAATGACTGAGTTTCTCGTTATAGTTGCCTGCCTGATTTCTAGTAGATAAGTTGCATACTGGATTTTGATTTTCATCCTCAACAGTTGTCACAACCCCCTTCTCTTTACAGTTTTCTTCTCCATCGCTTTCCTCACACCCAGATATTTCGTCCTCAGTCGAGGGTCTCCCTTTTTTTAAGAGACAATCATATTGTAACAATTTTCTGGCAGGAGAATGTTTCCTGTACTTGGATCGTATTGTGTAGTTGTGGAAAGGATGCTCTCCCTGCAATCCAATTCATGAACTAAGTGAAGCGGCAGAATTATTATTTTTGTCTCAATAAAAAACGATCAAATATCAGAAAAATGAAATCAGTATTTGACTTAAGAAGCCTTGCAGGTACAGACTGGAGCAAACTGAAATCTTGTAAAGTATTCCATATAAGCATGAAACAAAACCACTTATCAAAGAAGGCATATGAAAACAAATAAGAATTTAAAGAACATGAAGCATAACCATTAGAAGAAGAGAAGAAAACTGATAGACTTAAAATTACCTCGAAAGAGTTCAATATGTCATTAAAATTGGATAAATGGTAATCAATTTCAGAAGAAGTTGAGCCATTCTTTATCCCGATGATTTCAGCAGGAAGTAGATAAGAATACTTGCGTGCATTACACTCCCTTCTGGCATCAAACCTCCTGAAGCTCGGTTGTAAATGAAGTGAGTATGAAGGAAACAGAAAAATCATAACTGCTATATCAATTTCAAACTGAACAAAGACAATATCAACTATCAAGGACAGCAGACAGACTTTGGCAAATGGCTCAAGTCAACCAAGATCATGCAACAATGTAAAGAATGAAGCTCTGCCCCATATACTAATAACTGAACTCTGACTCAAAAAGAAATACATATAAGAGCAATCTTTCCCTTACTAGCATTATGGGCCCAGATTTACACATATATCAAAATTAACTTCTGCACTAATCAAACATAAGGCACTGAACAACTGCTAATAAAAGGGCAACATAAGGCAAGGCACTGAACATTCTGCACTTGGATGCTTTTAATGCTATGTCGTAGCCTTCAAACCAATTGAGCATATTAGGAAGCATATCTTTGATAGCACCAAGGATAGCACATAACCACATGGAACACTTGTTGAGGAGTCACCCTGACAACCTATAATGAGATCTGTTACGCGGCGCATTCCTGAGATTTCTTGGAAGGACGACGTAAAACTAAGCAACCAATGTCCGTGCGGTTACTATCCGCCAACTGGGGTCCCTCCGTACGCTAGATGAGACTATCAGTGTCGTACGGGAAAACCAATTGAGAGAACAGAAAAGAGAATGAGAATGAAAGAAAGTTTGATTGCATTAATTAAAGCTATTACAGAAAGGCAACACGGTGTCGAAGGGAGAGATACCAATACTGAGAATTGTTTGCTTGCTTGAAAGTTTGATTACTTGATCCCCCTAATAATGCTTAAAAAAATAAACCGAAGTTATAGAACTCGACATAACTAAGCTATAAAGACATAATGGAGATATAGGAAGTAAAACCTAAGTTGCTCGGACTCGGGTGCGGGTGTCCGATATGGGTGCGGATCTAGAGGTCGGATCCTTCATGATCCAAATTTTAAGATTCGGGGTACGGGTACGGGTGTTGGGATTCAGCTAAAAGTAATTCAAATATCTAAAAGCAGAGTTATAAAATATGTCTTAATTATAAAACATTATGTAGGAAACTTATAACATATTTCAAGAAGGAGAAAATATTGATCAAGAGGAGAATCCGAGAAGGATATAAAAGGAAAATGACTGACATAGAAATTTCTATATACATTGATTTGAATTCAAAAATCAGTGTATCTGTCCTGAATTTCTCAGTTGATTTTGGTCAAAGTACCCAAAATCGGTTGACCAGATCCGGTACGGATCCCACACCCACACTCACGTCGTGACGACACGGGTGCGGCACCCAAAGTGAAGAGTCCGAGCAACTTAAAGTAAAACTACTCTATATTTACAATAAAAAGGACTTAGATTCATACAAAGTAGAAGCAGGTCTGTTGGCGGCAACTTGTCTTTAGCATCAAAGTCTGCGCGCGCGGCGCTGTTGGCATCTGCCTGCGACTGGCCGCTGGCGAGGGCTATCGATGGGGCGACATAGGCGCAGGCATGCTTGTCACTTGACACGGGCCAGACCACGGGGTCGTCCGTGGCGCTAGGCGTGTCATAGGCACATGCATGCTTCCATTCCTCGAGAAGCTAGCAGCTCGAGGAGATTTCAACATGTTTGGGGCACTAAAAGTGTGTGGGAGTAGCGATTGATGTCCGGTAACAATTTCAAAAGCACTTTTGTTTGTACTAGAGCTCTTTTGTGAATTGAAACACAGTTGAGCACAATCCAGAAGCTTCACCCAATTCGTCTGCGATCCGGTAACAAAATGGCGAAGGTATTCCTCCAGCATGCCATTGAACCATCCCGTCTGGCCATCAGATTGCGGATGGAAACTTGAACCGTGGCTCAACTTGGACCCGAGACACTTAAAGAGTTGAGTCCAAAAGTTGCTAGTGAAGCTAGAGTCATGTAACTAACGATGTCTTTCGGCAGGCCCCAATATTTGACAACATGAGAGAAGAAGAGTTGAGTTGTATCTTCTGGTGATATATATTTTGGGGATGCTATAAATGTAGCGTATTTAGAAAACCGATCCACCACAACCAAGATAGTTGTAAGATATCCGACCTTGGGCAATCCGGTGATAAATCCAGTTACACGCTTTCCCAAGGTCTCTTTGGAACAGGCAATGGCTCCAAAAGTCCTGCTTGTGTCAAGTGGTCTGATTTGTCTTTCTGGCATACTAGGCAAATCTTCACATACAGAGCAACATCATGAGCCATTTGAGGCCAATAATAAGCACCGCGCAACAACGCCATGGTGCGTTCTTCACCTCGGTGGCTGGCCCACTAAGTATCATGGCATTCCATCAAAAGAGTCCTTCGCAGATCTCCTCCTTCAGGAACATAAAGTCGGTTCCCTTTCACCTTCAGGAACCTATCTTCCATGTAGAATAGGCGAGTCTTGCCCTGTCCTACCAAATCGACCAAATGCTGTGCATTAGGATCCTTGGTGACTAGATCCCGCATTTGATCTTTTATAGTGACAGCCACGTCGCTCCCCCCATAGGGTGGCGAGTAAGCACACCGATGCTAGGTCAGCCCTCCGACTTAGCGCATCAGCAACTTGGTTGGTCTTCCCACTTCGATACCTCAGGTTGAAGTGAAATTCCGCTAGGAGTTCCTGCCACCTGGCCTTTCAGCCATTCAGCTTTTGCTGGGCCATGAAATGAATAACAGTCGTACAACCCATATCTTGTCACACAGGTCGTCTTGTGTTCGTCTCCCTCAGCAATCCGAACTTGCTAGTAACTTGTCTTTAGGTCTATTTTCGTGAACACTATAGCACCACTCAGTCTATCGAACAAGTCTGCCATTAGCGGAATAGGGTACTTGTTTTTTCACGGTGATTTTATTTAGGACTCGATAACCCACACAGAGTCGTAGGGTGTCATTCTGTTTCTTTTGAAACAGCATAGGGGACTTGGAGGGCACAATGATCCCCGTGTACAACATTTTCGTCAATTGTCTCCGAAGCTCGACGAGTTCGGGTTGTGACATTCTGTAAGGCGCCCGGGCGAGTGGCTTCGCACCGGCACCAACTCAATCTCATGGTCCACAGTGCGCTTAGGCGGGAGTCGCTTTGGCATGTCCTGTAGCATGACGTCTTCAAACTCCTTTAGCAGTTCCTTCACGGGTGCAGGAATGGGACCCGAAGAGTGTTCAATATCTTAAATACAGAAGTAGCCAGGAACGTAGGTTCATGTCTTTTGACTCCCTTCTTCAACTGCAAGGCCGGGATGTTCTTCGCGGCCATCTTTATGGTTATGCATGGGATAATGCAGGGCTTGGCCGTGTTGGCTCCTATCATCAGTAGCATATCTGCATAAGGTACAGGAATGGTGTTGGTTTGCCTCATGAATTCCAATCCAACTATCAACTCGAATTTATCTATGATCACCACATGCAAGTTGAATTTTCCTTTATAAGGACCAAGCTTCACTGGCACTCCTTTGGCTATTCCATCGATTGGCTGAGGCGATGAGTTGATAGCCTTGACACGACCTGTGCCCTTTCCCACAACTAGACCAAGGTGCTTTACCTGAGTTGAGGCTAAGTAGTTGTGAGTAGCGCCCGTGTCTAACATCGCCCTAATGGGCTTGCTATTAACTTTCATTTCGATGATTAGGGTCTTCTCTTGGTTAAGAGGAGGCCCCTCATCCACCTTCTTTTTCCTTTCTTGGTGGTTGGGCATGGGTCCTTTTTCTTACGAATGCCGGCAATGGTTCCCGCTAAGGCCTCAGAAATAGAACAAACAAGTGCGTTGAAGGCACCTATTGGTTCTGTCTGGTCAGCATCATCTGTGTCGTCATCTGTCCCATCATCAAAAATTTGATGGGTGTTCATTTGTGCCTGTGGGCATTCATTGTTCCAATATGGCCCGCCGCAATGACAACATCCTAAAGGGGGCTTCCTCCCCCAATCGTTGTTGTGAGACGCAGCACTATTGCTGCCTGAGGAAGGAGTCTTAGATTTGGTTGCACTCTAATCTCCCCACTTCTGCTAGGGCCACCATTGTTGGGTTGGCCCCCTTTGTATCCTCCTCGGACAGGCGTTTGAGACCTATTTGTTACACCCCATGTTTTCATACGTGAGAATACGTCGAAGTCGATTCATATTAGCTACATAAAGTAAGTTAATCATGTTACCGTGGAAGTTATAAATATTTAAGATCATGAACAAGTACCAAGAGGGTTGGAAGGCTTTGAAGCTAAACGAATTGAAGAAAATAAGTTTTGTCGAAAGTCGACAAGTTGGGAATGTTATAACATGTACTTTTGGGGTGAGACTAGGGTGTTTAACATGATAAGGACGTTATGTTATGAGTTATTTCAGTCATATGATACTCGTGTGTTACGTTTTGAAGTCAAGCGAGTTGTGAAACAAAAGTTGGCAAAGGTCTTCACAAGTCATATTCATAATTTGCTGAAAATTAGGCCAAATGTAGCTGAGCTTTTCTCCCAATATACTAGGAATTACAGGATGACCGCCTACCAAATTGAAGATCTACAAGTCTAGTTTCCCGTTTCGTCGATACGACATCGGAGTAGAGAGATATTCGCGTTTTCGCGAGACTGCGCAAGCAGCTCCCATTGGGACCCACTTAGGCGGTGAATGATTCTCGAATCTTTAAATATCGGGGTAAGGCTCATTTGAGTTCATTTTTCGACCCAACCATACCCTATACTCTCCCAAAACACTCTCAAAGCAATCTCCATAATTCTAGAGTGAAAAACAAAGATAAAAACATGAATCAAATGCTACCTTGTGGTGAAGTAATCTCGAATTCGAGTTGTTCCATCTGCTTGAAGGTAAGGAACCTCTTACTCTTACATGTATTTGAGTTTATCCAAGTTACGACTAAGTCGTTGAAGCTAGAACTTGTGAGATATCGATTGAAAGGCTTGTTAGTAATGTTGTTGATTGTTGGACTATTTGGGAGGTGTTCTTGCAGCGTTTTATGGCTGGAAAATTTATGGAATAACCTGAGTTGTATCTTGTGTTGTTATTATCAGCATTTTCTTGAATATAAAGGGCTCAAAATATAGTGTTATTAAACATGATCAGAGCTTGCCGCTCGATGTGTTATTGTGCTGGTTGTGTTCTATATAGCTACTGATTGTTCTTTGGTTGTTGCTGCAATACAGGACGTGGGAAATGTAACAAAATCGGGGGAGATGCTGCCTATTTTAATATAGAATGAGCTTGTCGTTCGTTGTACGTTAGTTGTACTTTTCGTAGCTTAATGATGGCATCATTATCGTGGTTCTGGATTAAGGTGCAACCAGTTGAGTTCAGCGTGGTTATTGGGAAAATTGCTACAGGTATGTTCAGGTTAAACTCTTCCTTCATTTTCGCATGACCCCGTAACATGTGTTTGATAACGAGACATAAAGAGAAGTTCGTATTCCTGAACTTATGTACATTATCCTAGTCTCATAACATACAGTATTCTTCCTTATCGTCACTTCATATTCAGTTAAGTATGGTCTTCTTCCGGTCAAGAGAGCAAAGGTTCTATATATACGTACAGTATTACAGTATTTTCACCACCATCGAGCTATAATCGGTGGGCAGGCCCTAATTGGGCAACCTCTGATCAGATGGTAAGTTATACACCGAGCCTACTATGGCCGAGCGCCTATGAGCGAGCCTACTACGGCAGAGCAGTTATACGTACCGAGCCCTATAGGGTCAGACAGTTATTTTACTTATTAGTTCAGTCTCAGCTTTCAGTTATTCTATTGTCTTACTTACTCGGTACATTATTTCGTACTGACATCCCTTTTCTGGGGACGCTGCATTTCATGCCTGTAAGTCCTGATAGACAGTCGGATAGACCTTCGCAGTAGACAGAGCCAAACATCAGCTTTATTGGTAAGCTCCACTTTCCAGAAGTTACCAGGTCTAGACTTTGGAGTCCATTTATATATAAATATTATATAGGTAGGTCGGGGCCCTGTTCCGACCACAGTACAACCATCAGTAGAGGCTTGTAAACATATCCTGTCAGTCAGTGCAGTATGTTGGCCTTGTAGGCCTGGTATGTATATTTTTTTGGTTTGTCAGCTGTAGTAGTTATGACGGCCTTGCCAACCCAGCTTTTTACCGATGTTCAATTGGAGCTAGTTTCCATTCAGTTTTATATTTTGTTTCACAAATTGTCCTGCAAAGTGGTCATATGGCCAAGTCACATTGTATGTTCAAAGTCCCCCAGTCTCAGGTTGGTACGCTCGGTCAAGTGAGGCACCGGGTGCCGGTCTCACCTCACCAGGTTTGGGGTGTGACACTATCCTTCCGAGCTTCCACTTGGTAGTCCCAAAGGCATTCCGCTGCTTGGATTGCCTTGGGTAAAGTGTCTACCCTTTGTCTTTGCAACTCCATACGGGCACAAGGTTTCAAACCTTCCGAGAAGGTGAAGAGTTTGTCTTTGTCCCCCATATCCTGTATGTTCAGCATGAGTGCGGAGAATTCCAGCACATAATCCCGGACTGACTTGGTCTGACTCAACGTTTTTGGGGAAGAACGGTAGGCGTATGGTTGCCTTCAGGCCTCCCCATGTCTCAAAAGTATCTTCATTTGCCCTGATGGCTTCGTATTTCACCCGCTACTAGAGTTTAGCATCACCTTGAAGATACATGGCAGCAGTTGCTACCTTTTTATCTTCTTCTATCTCCCCCTCGGCATCGAAATATTGTTCGATGTCGAAGATGAAGTTCTCCACTTCCTTGGCATTCGGAGCCCTATTGTAGGGTTTTGACTCAAGAATCTTCAGCTTTGGTGGCACAGGGGCGAGGTTCACAACACCCCTGATCTGGTTTCCGCCTCCTCGAAGTAGGCCTTGTAATGCAGCGTTGACAACATTGAGCTGACCCGTCAAGTTGTCTATGGCTTGTTGCATGGCAGTAACCATGTCTGCCTCTTGTGCCCTATAGGCTAAATCCTCGGTCCGCTACTGTTGAAGGCCCTCGAAATTACTGAAGATTTTGACGACCTCTATGGCTGTCGTTAGTCGGTCTCCTTCAGAGTCGCGACTGATGTTTGCACTATCACCTTCGGTCTGCCGCATCGTGCGGTCCAAGTCGTCCAACCTTTGCACTGGGTTGGTTCATAGATCAGGCACCATATTCACGATGGGTTGTAATACGTTAATCGTCTCTTCAAGGGCCGCAATGCGGTCCCCATGATTCACCATGGTTAGAAATGGTGGTAATGGCAATGTGTTCCCTCGTCCGATGTCGAGCCTAGGCTCTGATACCAACTGTTACGTGGCGCCTTCCTGAGATTTCTTGGAAGGGCGACGTCATGCTAAGCAACCAATGTCCGTGCACTAGACGAGACTGTCAGTTCCGTACGGGAACCAATGTCAAGAGTAATTGAGAGAACAGAAATGAGAATGAGAATGAAAGAAAACTTGATTGCATTAATGAAAGCTATTACAGAAAGGCAACACAGTGTCGAGAGGGAGAGGCACCAATATAGAGAATTGTTTGATTACTTGATCCCCGTAATAATGCTTAAAAAAATAAACCAAAGTTACAGGACTTGACATAACTAAGCTAGAGAGACATAATGGAGATACAGGAAGTAAAACTACTCTATTTACAATAAATAGGACTTAGATTCCTACAAGGCAAAAGCAGGTTCGTTAGAGGCAACCTTGTATTTAGCATAAGAATCTGCGTGCGCGGCGCTGTTGGCATCTGCCTGCAGCCGGGCACTGGCGAGGGCTATCGATGGGGCGACATAGGCACAGGCGCACTTGTCACTTGGCGCGGCCAAGACCACGGGGCCGTCCATGGCGCTAGGCGTTGGGAGGCTTGCTAGGATGCCATGGGGCGCGTCCAAGGGGTCATGGGGCATGGTTGGAAAGCCACCCATGACAGATCGCATGCCAAGGAACTCCAAGAGAAGTTAGTTTGGTAACAGATAAGATCAAGAAGTATTTTTTTCTTGAAAATGAGATAAAAGGGAATTACCTTATAAATGCTTTCATGTGCTTGTGACATCATTGGAAGAGGATATGAAGCCATTGCTTCAAACTTGAAATCGTGGCTCACAAGTCTGAAGCTACAAGATTGGAGTCTCAAGAGTTGAGGCCGTGGCCTCAAGCTTGAAGCTGCAGCCTCGAAGTCATTTTCACTCACTGGTCATTTGAGGCCGTGATCTCACAAGTCTGCCGAGATTTTATTTTAAGGGCAAGTTTGTCTTTTAATACAGTTACCTGGGGAACTATAAATTAGAAGCCTAGACACGTTTTTAGCAGCTTTTTATGATCATTGAAATTACTTTGAGAGATGAAAAGTCTTCTCCTTTGTTCTTTGAACAACTCCTTATTTTCCAGGTAAACTGATTCCTTGTTAACATTTCTCTGTTCTTGATAAACATGATTGGCTTTTCTATCCTAATTACAAAGTGTTTCATTTCTATAAGTAGGATTGTGGAGTTGAATTAGGATTCATGTTGGGTTTCCAGGGCTAATTTGTTGTCTGAATATTAGCAACGTTTTCAGTTTCTATATTGATAATTGTGTTAGTTTCATGCAACACATATCTTTATTTGTTTTAATCAACTCGTTCTTTAGATTGATTTGAATCCATTACAAACTCCTAGAAGTCATAGTCCACTACTACTTCCGCTATCTTGAATGTTATCATTCTTACTCTATGAGTTATGCTTGCTTAGCTTTTCAGGTTAGCCCAAAAAACTTGGTTGCTATTGCTCAAGGAGCAGGGAAGGAAGTACGTCTTTATTTTCACCTCAAAGCTTGAAATCTGCACATTTACATGCTGTTTTTTTACATGCACTTTAACATGCTTTTCCTCCAACAGTTAATGATAATGGAAATTCAATCCTCAATGTGCTAACTTTTAATGCTTATCAGTTAAGACATGAACAAAAGTGAAAGTCACAGGCCAATGAGAGAAAACAGGCAAAAATCAGAAATAAGAGAAGAATCTCACTTTTTTGAGGGTAGGATACTGAAAACTCTGATGTTCTCTGGGAGATATGAGTTCACACAATTAGCAAGAGAAATCCCATTTGGGTCATCCTGCCATGCATCTTCCGGGATCTCCATTTTAAGAGATATCATGGTCGACAATGAATGAACCTAATGTGTTTTGCAATAGAATCAACATTATCGCAAGAGAAGACATTCTTTTAGGGGAAAACAAAAAAGAATGCGAAGTGTAAGTTATAATAAATCTCTAGCTTACTCCTTTATCTGTTCGACTACTTCTCGCCCAACCAATTTTATATAAGTTTCCAAAATTACTGTCTCGAATACCTCCAGCTTTGAAGATAGCTTTTTCCAGTTCACCTTCAATGGCTGCATTACAGAACTATAATGATTTAGCAAAACTCCAAAACCTCACACGTGATGGTTAGGCTGATGGAATATGTATTCAAGTCAAAATTTACACTGTCGGTAAAAGAATAGAGGATTGCCACAGGGAAGGTTCAATCAAGTTATCATAAATATAACACTGAATGAAGTTTCAGGAAAATTCTCCTTCCAACCTAGCATATTCATGAATCAGAGGAGCCAATTCACAAGTATAATTATACAGTATTCCATTCATGTTTCACTTCACTTGATAATACATTTACCTTGAACACCCAAAATGCTAATCTCTCAAGTAAGAAACAAGCTAGCGATCCAGATGAAAATTACTTTCAGTGAATACGTTAATCACATAAATTACTAAAGAGTCGCACATTGGTATAGGCCATTTTCCAGTTATAGTTGACTACCATGCGTTGTTTTAAATAAAACTCAATTAACAATACCATCAAAAATCAAGAAATGGTGGGTTTTCGCCAATGCTTATCATAAGTCAAGCAAATCATAAACGCCAAAAAAATATATATGGAGAAAAAAAAACATAGCATTGCCATGCCATTTCTTTTTCAACTCTCCCCATGAAGAAGGTTGGTAGTAAAGAGCAATGCAGAAAAATTAACTTCTGAAAAGGTATCATATTTTTTCTGGCGGTCAGGCTTGGTCTTTTAGGAACTGAATCCTAGTTTTTGTAGGACATCATTTTACGTCTATTTCAAAAAGCAGTAGGCTGATTGTTTCTAATTATTTGTTCAGCCCATATAGAGGCTAGATTTTGATGGATATACTCATTCAAAATTCATCGTTCTCTGTCTATTGTGAAACTAAACTTTGCTCCTCCGTTTTAATTTATAGCATTTGGTACAAGTACAGGATCCTAAACCTCCAATCTAGACCCTAATTGCAACAAGTAGAATAGCCGAGGACCATTGAATAATACCTTTTAACAACTGATGTAGGACACTTATATTCCCCAACACCCTCACTTTATACCATTATAAAAAATAAAAAAGTCCTTAACACCAACCAGAACGTACAATTCGATTCTAGGGTTTACTGGTGGATGAAATTTCCTTATTTCTTATTCCCTTTTGTAGGCTTAATTTTTTAAAAGAATGAAGTGACTCAACAGGCTGAAGAATAGCATTCGGCATAAATTGCAAGCTTAACAGGTTGAAGAGTGGTTTTGGTGCAAGGCAAGAGTTGACTCAAGATGCTAAAGAGTTCTCCTACTGTTAAGTTACTGACTCGATGGACTGAGTTGAGAGAGAAAAATCCAGAGCAACTCGATAGACTAAAGTAGAGAGAGAGAGAGAGAGAGAGAGAGAGAGAGAGAGAGAGAGAGAGAGAGAGAGAGCAGATTCCAATAAAATAGATCGAGATAACAGAACGTTGTTGTAAGATGAGCTTACCAAGTTTGGCTATGATACGTTGTGAAAAACAATCTGAGCATCAAATATTTATCTGAAAAAATATGAGTATCCACCAAGACCTTAAAGAAACGAGTGAAATAACCCAGACCAATATAAGCTTCTTTGAAAATCTTGAAACATGTATATTCTGTATCAGTATTGCAGCAACTATGTTTTTATAAGCTTACATTCTCTCTCATGGCATATAAAGCTTCACCCAGTGCTGCATTCTCCGATTTAATGGTCATTATGACCATTGAAGTGTTTCATAGAAAACTTTCTAAAATCAAAAGAATAGTGGATATAGTTTCAAAAGTTATACCATAACTGCCAACTTGAACAACAGGAAGCACAAACAAAAGGGGTAAACAGGTTGAAACTAAAGAATTTGAAGGCCAGAAGCTATTAATATAGGCAACAGAATGTTCATTCTTGGAGACAATTATTGCAAAGATACCTTCAAGCACAAAGGAGACTATGAAAAAAGCACAAAGATTCTGCCAGGACCTAAAGCAACTAAGCAAGCAACATCAGGTACTCCAAGTTCGCACTCTAAACAGAGTTTGAGGCTTTGCGGAGGAAGTCAAAGAATCAAGCACCAAAACTTCTCTCAAATAATGGCCATTGCCAACAAGATGAGTCTGCATGGTAATAAGTCAGCTGTTATTGGTTTCTCATCTGACCATATCTAGAGGAGCAAGCCCTTCAAGTCTTTACAAAGTAGGCAGAATAACACCAAGGAAGAAAAAGATTCAGGAATGAAAAAGTGAAATCCCATAATCTAGGAAGAAGTGCCTTTGCTGCTATGGAATAAGAAGACTTCACATCCTAGCATATAATACAGCACAGGATGTGAGGTAGGTGCACACCACAGGTTCATATTTGGCTAGTGCTGATCACAAGTAGTTCTTTCTCCAAAATCCTCCTTACTACTTAGTAAGAATACCACCTCTAAGAAGTTTTAGCATTTCTTAGTAAGCTGTTTATAATTCTAAGTTCAAGGAATGATTTGGAACGTAGTAGCAAGTGAAAATTGAACACAAGACTGACTTCGACCAGATTCTTTATCAATATCTTGACCCTTGCTTAACTCCTAGTTCAATAAACAAGTCTCTGATAATCGGATCCCGAACAGAAGAGATACTTCCCCCTGCTAGGAGTAGACAAATGGTAATATTAAAAGAAGGGAAAGAGATCGAAGGAGATCTTTCCTAACCAATCACAAAGGATGAGAACGAAGCAAAGGAATGTGCTGAGTGCTAGAGGTGTTATAATTTGGCCACTGAAAGCCTCGATGCTGAACAATATATCAAAGCACAACTGAGAATCATCAATTGCAGAATATGGCCAGAATACATCCTTGTCAACAACAACAACAATAACAAGACATCTAAAAAAACTTAGAATGGAAAAATTAAAGGAAGAAATCAAATGACAACAGAGAGAAGTGTGTGATTCTTGGCTAGCAATTTCTGCAAAAGCTTATAAAAACTGTACAGCCCAAGTACATCGAAGATCATAGTTGGCACGGATACTTTTAATGGGAAGAGTTTTGGCAGTGGGGCAGAGGCGAAGCAAAGCATCATATGCCTACAAATATTGATGATAAATAGCAAACCTATGGTAGAGAAGCAGCATGATATCGAATAGCCTTTTTGGCTTACAGAAGGTCAGAGAGCATCAAAGTAAGCAAAGGATAAGAAGATGTCAGCCATTAAAAGAACTCGAGCTAACAATGGCGGAAAATCAAAAAGAGGGCAGGAGAATGGGTGTTGAAGACAAAGAATGAAGATGTCAAACACAAGGTCAGAACAGTAGCAAAAGCGTACAAATAGGACACTAAGGAAGTTTTTGAACTTAACTGCAAAGCATGATACAATCAGATTGATTTTGCGACTGACAGCTCAAAACCAATGGCCAATACGTGTAAGAATTGTTAATTAAATAAAGTGTGATCCACTTTGAGACCACTCAATTCTAGCATGAATTTCAACAAGGTTTCCAAATTACAAAGATATGGATGGAACTACAAATAGATAGTAGGAAGCCTGATGCATCACAAGCTCACCTGACATATGTACACAATCAGCATAATCAGTATGTATATGGACAAACCTACACAAATATTATCTCCTTGCAGCAAGCTATTTGCAAGGCACAACCAGCCATGGTTTTCTGTACAAGAAAGGAGGAAATTCAATGTTGATGAGGTTGTGATTACATGAGGACCAAGACAAAAGGAATAGCACCACTGGATTTGTTTTCATGTTTGGATCAAACGCAAATTCATAGCCATCCAAGAACATCTGATAATAACCCCATCCACTCTACAAGCAGTGTTTATAGAACCAACAGCCTATGCATGCCAAGCTATTGCTTGGTAAATCTAGCGCAAGCAAATAGAAACTACTAATAACTCAATAATCAATTTGTCCAAGAACCCAAGCAAGCATATATTAATAAGGTATAATTTTCAGGAGACCTCACAAATGACACCATATTTGAGTTGTTTAGTTCAAAAATCAAGACCAAGCAACAAATAACCTTCGAAGGAGGAGGGCTTTCTCAAGCTTAGAGACATGTTCTATCTGCTCATAATAACAATTTGACCCCATGTAAACTATGTTTTTTTTTTTTTTATTTGCACCGGGTTCCGAGTCTCTAAGAGCCCCCGACTAATCCCGGGGGTGCACAGGCCCTCGGCAAGGAGTTTCCCGCAAGTGCACCACGGTTAATTCGGGTTTTACCCAGTCCGATGGCCCTCAGAAATTGTTTGCACCCAGTGGGTTTCGAATTTGAGACCTTGAAAGGGAGCAAACCCCAAGGCTCAAGTCAATTGCCACCAGGCCAACCCCTGAGGGTTCCATGTAAACTATGTTACAAACATCAGTTTAAGAGAATGATTTTGTGTGGTCTTATAGGAACTGAAATCCTAGTAGGAGAAAATATATTCCATTATATTAGGAAGAATATCGAGGTTGTTACCTGTTAGCTGATTTATGCCCATTTTATTGCACCAAAGGGTAATGCCTAGCAGTCAATAAAGCAAGAATGGACCACGGGAGACCAAAGTACAAAACTCAGAAGAGGCAAAATAAGCAACTACTCGTAAGTGATTTACTCCCATCTGTCTAAGCCTTACTAGTCATAGTTACCACTTGTGCTGGTGAAAGAAAGAAGATCTAGTAGAGTAGTCGAGGTGCATGCAAACAACCCGAACACCACTGTAATTAAAGAATGCCCATTTTATTGTATTCCTGATGCTATATGTTAGCTTGTATAAATGCTAACGGTAGCATTTGATGAATAAGATACATCCAGAATGCATCCGTCCTTTGTCTCTTTTAATTCATAATAGCAAATTCAAAACAGATAAGGGAACACTGAGAATAGCATCTTACTGGATAGTTCATGTTCATCTCTTTGCATTTGCAAACCTGCCACAAAATTGAACAAATTTGTGATTATTAGCTTGAAACATTTCTTTTTGGACAGCTCGTGGAGAAAAAGAAGACCTCGATAATCAGAACCCACGTATCCCACCCGCATCACCACTTTCTTTTTAATGAAAGGCTCCCATTTGTTGCTCCTCGCCGGCGGCGGCGGAGATAAGTCTTCAGCGGTGTCGGAAGGTATTACAGATGGTGAAGTGGAAAATGAACACAGAATGGTTAGAGGCTTTCTAGTGTATGAAGAGAATCTGAGGTTAGTTAGAGGTATCAAAGGAAGACGAAGAGAAAGGGCTGTCATGGCTAGAGAAAACTATCCACAGTGAACACACAATCCCGCTAAACTACTGTTTTGCCAGTAATAGAACGGATAGTTACATGGGCCAAATTGAAAAAAGAAAAGGGCACTTTGATTAACTCAAAGTTAATTAAGAAAATTTGGGGATTGATTATAAGCTATATCAATCTATCTATAAAGCATTTACCGGTAAAACGGTAAAGTTAAATTTATAACTACTTTCTAGACAAGTGAATTAATATGATCCTAAAATAGTAAAAGAATAGAACAAATATGCAATACTTAGCCTTGAGATGAAAACTAAATAGCAGAAACAATAGTTTATAGCATAAGTTTTGGCGTAAACAACACCATTGAAATCAAAAAGGAAGAAGATAAAATTATATAAAGCTTTAAATAGATTATAGCGTAAGTTTGCCAGAAAATTCGTGTGCTTTACAATGATAATAGAGCTCACTATTTATAGTTGTACCTAGGGAACAAGGTCCTAGGATCATGTCCTTCTTTAATGTCAATTATGAGGGGCCATTGAAGAATGCGTAACGGTAGGCATGAATGACAAGTTATTTGTAATGGGCAGTGTATTAAACGCTGTAGAATATTCTCCATTAAATGCTACCAGTTAGCAGGCATTTATTGCATCTTTATGAGCATTATTCTTTCCGGTAACAAATAGAACAGTTGTCTTCGGTCTTAGCTACCCTTTGCCTTCGCCTCCACGTGTCACTCTCTTATGCAATTACTTAGCATAACATATTTTACCCTGTACAGATAGTCCCCCTACTTTCTGGTGACATAACTTTGTGTCACGGAGAAGTTGGTAGAAATGCTCTTTTTGGCGGGAATTTCACCAACCCCCTCTGATAAACTTCTGACAGTTGATTAGACGTACGTCTCTCCGCTTTTATGGCCCCTGAACGCGCGTCATCACATGATTCAACGTAACCTTTGCCGGTTATCGAGGTAATTGTGGCCACGAGTTTAGTCGCCTAAACCTTTACTTATACACATTTACTTCCTTAACTTTACACTTCATAACACTTTGAATTTTCTAAGGCTTTCTTTACTCAACTCATCTTCTGACTCCAACCTTTCCTTAACCTCCTTCTTTGAGAGGAAAAACTCTTTCTTTGATAATAAATGGCCTCCTCTTCAAGAAAACCTAGTTCTTCAAACAAAGGCAAAGCTGACGAAGTTGCTCCCCCTATGGTGAGTACCATTGTCCCAAAGAGCCTGATTACCACCAAAGATTTCGAAAAGAAGTTTCCTTCTACTAACTCTCGTACATGGGCCGTTGGCAGACACCCTTCTTCCATCCGTCCTTCCAGTATTCTTGCTGTGAAGGAAGATTGTCGTTGCCAGGATTTAGACATCAGTGTCCTTGATCCGGCGGAGTGGGTAACCCTGCCCAAGGAGGGTTTTACATACTTTTATACATATCCCTTTACTTTGGGAGCGTTTTCTCTGAGCGGGGAGCTTGATTCTGATATTGCAGAGTTATGTCTCCGCTATCAGGTGTGTTTGGATCAAGTAAGTCCTTCCGCGTGGAGGACGATTAGTTTTCTTCGGCGCCTGTGCCAAGAAACGGGAGCGGAGCTATCCATAGCTCAAGTAAGTCCTTCCGTGTGGAGGACGATTGATTTTCTTCGGCGCCTGTGCCAAGAGTTGGACCTTAAATATGGGTGGAAGGCCAAAAATCATGGTAACTTAGACTCATCTCGTCTTTGTTTTTTGTATGAGGAAATTAATTAATCCTTTCTCTCTTTGCCGAATCCAAGGCTACTCGTGGGCCCGGTTGTCGTCCCCGAGGAGGACATTTTGGTTGATCCTGCTGATGCAGCAAGGCTGCTTCAGGAGGCGCTTACTCGAATAGGTATTTCCAAGCCTGCTTCGGGTGCAAGTATTTCTTCTCAGATTCCCCAGCCGGAGAACAAGCAACCAAAAATAAAGCACTCCTCTGCGGCCGGGGGAAAGAATAAGAGGGCGAAGAATGCCGCCCCCGAGTCGTCTCTAGAAGTTGCGGTGACGAGCCCTCCGCCTGGGCCGACCATAGACACTGTGTCGACGGTGATGGAGAAGCTAGTGATAAGGGAGCTTCTCTACGTAGAAGATGACAATCCTCATCAACTCAATAGCATGCTCAACCTGTTAAGTTAGTTACGCCAATCGAGGACGATGTCTCGCCACTTTGGAGGAGTTTGAGATGGAAGAAAATGCCAACTCCCGTTTCCTGATCCTAGTCACTGTGTCCGGTACCGTGAGGCTGACTACCGGGCCCCTGCCATCTTCGGTTGATGAGCAACCAACAACCAGCACTGCATTTGGAGCTGCATTCTCACCTTTCAACGCCATTAGCTTCATCACCTTATGCTGCCCTTTAGATAATCCGCAAAGAAGGAGGAGCGTTACTCTCTTGGTCTCCACTGGATGCAATTTGCTATCCTGGCTGGTGGAACTTGCTAACTACATGAAGCCTTTGGCTTCAGAAAAAGATTGGGAAAAGATACAGGCACTCTCAAGAGAGTGCTTGTTGGCACAACGCGGCAGCGATACATTCTTCATTTCCTTTGTCATATTTCCTGTCTTTGATTGAATAAATATTCTGAGTTCGCCTTTCTTGTTTTGTAGGCCAATTTCCTTGCTTCCGAGGGCCTCCAGAGGTAGATTCGGGAAAAATAAGAACTTACCTCTGAATGGGATTAACTTTTGGCTGAGCGTGACCAAACTGCTGCTCGCCTCTCAAAATTGAAAGCTAAAGTTGCTGAGGTCGTTGTGTTGGAGACTCGTTTGCAACAAGGCGATCAAGAAGTGGAAACCCTTAGCTAAGAGATTGCCCCTCTGAGGGTTCAATTTGAAGAGGCCAAGGCCAAATGGGATGAAGTCCATAGTGTCGTTCTTGCTGCATCCGATCGCGAGGCTGCCTCTGCTGAGAGATTGGCCAACTTAGAGGTAGCCTTGAACTCAAAAACTGAAGAGCTTGCTGCTGCGGAGGTGAAATATGCTCAATTGGAGGAGAAGTATAAGAAGACCATTGAGCATAATAGACTTTTCAGTTCTACTATCCGCGAACTCGACGTTAGCCTCAAGTCCATTAGATCTGCCCGAGAAAATCTTTTTGTCGAGGTTAACCAACTTAAAGAAGATCTCAAGCGTCGAGTAGATTCCCTCATTGTTGAAAAACTTACGTTATGTACAGCATGAGGAGATAAGCCTGGGAAGAGGCTAAAGTAGGTACCATTGAATTTGATGCCAAAATCCCTAAAGCCCGTGAGCTAGAGTCAGCTGCTAAAAGGGGTCTCCCGGCAGGGCCTGATGCTTCCGATTCTTCTGGTTCTGATTCTGAAACCTCGGGGAACTGAAGAGGAACCAGCGGGCGAAGATGTTGAACGTCAAACTGATGAGGGCCAAGATGTTGAGCCATCGGCGGATCTACCCACGTCCCCTGGGGGCACAGATGTTTCTCTTCCTCCGGGTTTTTGAGATGCAGAAGTTTAGCTTTTCCTTTCTTTTCCCAACTTTTATACTTGTGTCGTTTGGCGCGTTTATTGTGAATAAAAACATCTTTTGTTCAAGTATTGCATGAGTCTCTCTGCATTCTTTTGCTTGAACATTTATGCAAGTTTTAACCTTTGCGTTCCTTCTTGCTTAAGTGTTTTGTGCAAGTTCATTTCTTGCGCCTTCTTTTGCTTGAGCATACATGCAAGTTTGTTTTTTGCGTCTTTTTGTGCATTTTTTCCTGAAAGCATTTGTATTTCGGGCATAAGTTCTTCCAAAATCAACCCTTTATCGTAAGGGTTTTTATAAGAGAGAGCTCTCTTATTTATGGTGCTCTTCAAGAGGACGTCTCTTGTTCATTATGGAACTAACGTTTGAAGTACTTGTTTAACTTTCAAATGACAAAATCAATTCATCCTTTAGACAAGAAATGAGATATAAATAAAAGGAATTTACTTTATTCCTTCTATTTTCAGAAAGTGCATAAGCATTCGTTATGCTAAAAAAAATTGCCATTTCTTGTGGCTAACTATACAACTTGTTACTATGGGGCTTGCTGCGCAGTCCCCGACCTCGATGATACAATCGTGTTTCCGATTTTCGTATTCTGCTCGACGTGGCAATCATTGTTGTCGTATCCTCATATTATACACCCCCCAAGTGTTCGACTCCACTAATGAATTGCTAGATAATATTCAGTTCGGTAACAAATTTCACTTCCTCTTAAGAATTTATGCTATCGAGCCAAAGACTATCTAAAAATCCCTTAGTGGTTTGCACCTGTGAACGGTCGGGTAACCTTTGCTTGATATCAAACTTAATCTTTCGGTGGGAATTTTGCTATCGAGCCAAATATTATCTAACCACTCCGGAGTGGTTCTTCGCTTGTGTGCCTTGCTTGACAAATTTATTTCTGGCCTCTGCAATAGGGCGCTTCTTTTGTCTTACCGGGGGGATGCTGGGATCCAAGATCAACTTGTGTACGACCACTTCCGTCGGGATACCTGTCATATCCGCATGCGACCACGCAAAATAGTCGGCATTAAATTTAAGAAATTCAATAAATCTAGACCAAAGCTCGGGGTGCAGTCTAGTCCCCAAGTGGAATTTCCTCTCCAAGAACTTTTCAAATAATGCAAAGTTGCTCAAGCTCTTCCGATGTGGACTTTGTTGCGTCCGTCTATTCTGGTACCTGGAAATACCTTGACACATGATAAGATTCTGACGCCTCTTCCCCCTGGTTGATTTCACTGGATTGGGGATTAGGTGCCGGTTCCTGTAATTGCTATGCCCCATGCTCCTTCCCGTTGCTACTGGAGACTAAAATTGCATTCATCTCCTCAGGAGTTGGGAGCTTCAGCAACTGATGATACGTTGAAGGCACGACTTTCATCTCGTGCAACCACGATCTTCCTAGAATAATGTTATAACCCATATCACCATCCACAACCTCGAAAAGAGTCGTCTTCATCACCCCTTCGACATTTGTGGGTAGCATGATTTCTCCCCGAGTTGTCATGCTTGCGAGGTTGAATCCGACGAGGAGTTTTGTGGCCAGAATGATATTTCTGGTAAGTTTCT